GCCGATCCCGGCGCCGTCCACTGCCCACCATAGCTAGAGAGATCATTCCACGCCGGAAAAAAGAAGAGGTTTCGCCGAGGCAGCCTCTCCACCGCCGTCCGGGCAACTTTTCCGGTGTTTCAGCCGAACAGGGGTTGTACACCGCCGGGTTTGCGCCCACCTCGCCCGCAAGGTGTTCGGTGATTTGCCCGGCCCGGCGATGGACTTCGAAGATGAGGAGGCGCCCGCGGCGTTGCTGGAGGAGGAAGCTGAAGCCGACGTCCAGGAGCAGGAGCATCTCATGGTGCTCGCCGCCCTCGCCGGCCTGCTCGCGAGCAGTGAAAAGCCGTGGCGAGGTGGCTCGGCGCCTGGGCGGGTGAAAGCGAAGAACCTGCATCGTCTGGAAGGCTACTGCATGCTCTACTCGGACTACTTCGCCAATGCTCCATTGCACGGTGAGAAAACATTTCGGTGCCGTTATCGGATGAGCCGAAAGCTTTTCCTCAGGATTGTGAATTCCATCCCGGAGTTCGACAACTACTTCAAGTGCAAGATGGATTGCACCGGCACACTTGGATTCACCTCTATCCAGAAGTGCATGACAGCTATGAGGATGCTTGCATACGGAGCTCCCGGTGATTCACTCGACGACTATGGGCGCATGGCCGAGTCCACCACCATTGAGTGTTTCTACAAGTTTTGCAGGGCAGTGGTAGCATTGTTTGGACCGCAATACTTGCGAACACTCAATGCGGAAGACACTGCTCGGATCCTAGCACAGAATGCGGCAAGAGGATTTCCTGGGATGCTTGGAAGCATCGACTCCATGCATTGGAAATGGAAAAACTGTCCGTTTGCTTGGCAGGGATTGTACAAAGGCGCCAAAGGCGGTTGCAGTGTGGTACTTGAGGCAGTGGCCACACATGACCTCTGGATTTGGCACTCTTTCTTTGGGATGCCAGAAACTCACAATGACATCAACGTCCTGCAGTGCTCCCTTGTCTTTGCCAAGCTTGTTGAAGGTCATTCTCCTCCGGTGAACTTCGAGGTCAATGGGCGGCAATACAACAAGGGGTACTATCTAGCTGATGGCATCTATCTAAGATGGTCGACATTTGTGAAGACTATCTCAAACCCTGTGCCAGGAGGCAAGAACACCTTCTTTGCGAAGGTTCAGGAGGCTTGCAGGAAGGATGTCGAGCGGGCATTTGGTGTGCTCCAATCTCGATTTGTTGTTGTCCGGTACCCTGCGCAGACCTGGTCCAAAGATCAAATGTGGGAGATCATGACTTGCCATGTCATCTTGCACAACATGATCATTGAGAGCGAACAGAAAGAGCCAATGTTTGACACTAAACCATATTACAGGCAGGGTCCTCTTGCCCAAATTGATCACCAGCTACCGGCAACCTGGACTGACTACCTCAATATGCGTCAGGAGATCCGAGACCCACAGGTGCATCAAGAACTGCAACACGATCCGGTGGAGCACCTATGGGGGCTCAAGGGCGAGGCCGGGGCGACGCGGGGAATGATGTTTGATAAAACTTGAGTTTTTATTTGTTAAACTATATAATTTGTATTGAACTATTTGTTGAACTATTTGATTTATGTGATGAAACACGCCGAACCATGCCGAACTATGTGATGAACTAATTGATTTCTATTTGTATGCGAAAATTCACGTCGAAACAAGCCGAAGCGCGCCGAATATGGGCCGATTCACGCAGATATCGAGCCGTTTTTGGACACAATTGGGCCGAATAATGGGCCGAAATCGGCGCCCGGGGGTGACGGCTAGGTGCCCAACCGCACCCAGCGCCGAGTATGCCGCTGGCTCACCCCCAGGCCGCTCTTTTTCGGCGCCCTGGGGGGCCGAACGGCTGGAGATGCTCTAAGAGCATACATTCTGAAATTTATGAGTCATAGGTATCAAGCTATACATTAAAATCTAAATTTCTACATTCATTAGATAAAGAATCAACTTGTAAGATCGTTAATGTAGAAAGAAAATATCTCCAACTGAGAATTAGATGGGACACGACCTGACAAGTGTCGTGTCATCAGGCCTGTTCCAGCAGGCTTCTGACGCCAGACTGACATGGTTGTGGCATTAATCTGGCCAGCCCTTCGTATCCAGATTGGGTTCGACCGTTTCGCCCAGCCTGCTGTTGGGGTTGATGGGAGACGCCACTTTGTCACCATTGGAGGTGCATCAAAGGTGGTTCGATTGTGAACGGAAGCATGGCACAAGGGTCTCAACCTGCGTCTGGCGTCTTCTCCAACAGCAAGACCCGACGAACTCTCACCTCTAGGATCTGGCTAGTGAGAAATCATCAACTGGTAGAGAGGTTGGGGGCTAGTGACGACTTTGACGAAAAGTATGCACGTGTTCTAGGTGGAAACACACGATCTTAGATCAGACAATGTCAAGTCGCATGCATCATGCCCTTGCCGAATATGTGGCTTGAAGCTCGGTTTAGGGGTTTTGACTTTTGGTTGGACTTGTCAACATCAGTGCACGTGTGATGAACCTTCTTGAAGGCTTTGTCTAGGAGTAGTGAACTTTTCGTTGTTTGATCACTTTTCATAGGGTGTGTGGTAGATTGTCGAGATAGTGTCTCGAGCTGGTCCATTTTAGATGGCCTTAGTTTTTCTTTACTTTTTGTTAACCGATTTATTTGCCGTCGATTTATGACTTTCTTGGCATTATTGAATATTATCGTTGTGTGCATCAACAAATGCAGAGGTCGGGGTCATCCTCGTTCCTGAAAAAAGAATCTGAGAATTAGACATCAGTGTTACTTTAACATATCAAACTAATAGATCATAATTATAACAACCACAAGCAGCCACTAATCCTGTGGATTTTTATAATATCACTTACGTTTGATATTTTTTCCATAAAGATGTAAGCAGCCACTAATCCTATGGACTTGCACAATATTACGTTATCTTTTTTCGATAAAGATGTATGCGATTCGAATAATAACATGTGTAGCCTTAGTACAAAGATCCAACAGACATCCGATTTGTGTGATGATCTTTTATCATGCACGATAACACAAGAACAAAGAGGCCAACTCACGATCCGAAAATTAATAGCAGACCAAATGACACAAGAACAAACTCATGATCTGCAAACTTCAATTCCACGTTTTGATAACATAGAACATCATATACTGTTGTTACTAGGGCTTTTATCGTTAATAACATATATTATGCGCATACACGAGTTTAATTTTTTTAAGTGATTAAAGACTCTATCCTGCAGTCGGTGACAATGAGTTAATTCATATTTTGTTACTTGAAAAAGAATTGATTAAATTGGAATAGATTCTCATTGTCGTTCAGTAATCACTCACTGCTCTTGCATATCACCTGAATACATTGACTAATCACTGCTCTTGCATTTCACGTGAATAGGTACCTCATTGTTATCGATGATATGTGGGACACAAAAGTATGGCATGATTTTATCAAATTTGCTTTTCTTGGTAGCAAATGCGGAAGTAAAATAATCATAACTACACGTATATTTGAAGTTGCCGCAATAGCTACTGATGTATACAAGCTGAACCCTCTTTCTGATGGTTATTCTGAAGAGCTATTCTATGCAACACTGTCTCCTGAGGAAGGCTGTGAGTATGATTTAACAGATGGGGTAATTGAAAAGATTTTATCAAAATGCGATGGTGTGCCATTAGCTATAATTACAATAGCTAGTATGTTGGGCAGTAAACAGAGGGAGGATTGGCCTAAGGTGTACAACTCTATTGGTTTTGGGACTGAGGTTACCGAAGATGTCGATAACACAAGGAAGATATTGTTGTTTA